GTGAAGAGCACTGGAGATCATTTGACTTGGCAAATAGTAGCGTGATGGAAGTCATACCCAAAATAGAGCGTAGAAGGAGAGCAGTGAAAGGTTATCAAGTATGTAGGCCTGTCACCTCACCGTTACAGCATACAGAATGAGATCTGGGGATGATTAAGCTGTTGTGAAGGAAGAACATTTGGATTTTGCCTGGTAGAATGACTGAAAGCATCAAAGAGCTACAGACATAGCCACTGAGGGTTTCAGTGTGAGAGACAGAGGGAGAATGGTGTATCAGTGAGCAGACAGTTTGGAGGAGGAGCTGCCTTGGAAGCCTGGTCGTGGAGAACAGTCATGTTTTTACAACCTTAAGAGTGTGGTATAAGGATTAAATGAGGTGATATGTATATATAAGGCACAGTGAGCCAGATCATGAACAAAAACTTCAGATACAGTGAGTTTTAAAAAGAGACCTACCTCCTTTATTTTGGCATAGTTTGAAAGCATGTAAAAATTACATCGTGTGGCTTTGTCTTTCATCTTCTGCATAAATACTTGAGAGCTCGTCCCCTTGTTAGCTTAGATAGCAACTACCTTTTACTGAACACCTTCCTTGTAAGGTGACTTAGGTACTTTATCTCCTCACCCATGTGAGATCCATTTTATAGATGAAGGAACATCGCTAGGAAGAGGTGAAGCAGTAATGCGAACTAAAAGCTTTGCTTTCCCATTTTATCTCTGCGTGTGAGGATGGATTCACCATCTGCTCCTCAGATTGACACTGTGATTTCTTGATCTGGTCATCCGAAGCTTGATGCCGACATCACATCTACATTTACAGGTTGTCTTCAGCACTGAACTCCATTTGCCATCTCTTTTTCAAACGTGAGACATACATCCTATAAGACTTGCTTACTCTCAGTGGTAATTGGTATGTGGGGTGACCTGGAATGACTGCCACCTGGACTCCTCCAGGGCACTGGCTCTCAAGGTGAGGTCCGCAACCAGTAGCAGCAGCATGAGCATCACTAGGAGGTTGGTAGAAGTGCAAGGATTTAGGCCCCATCCCAGACCTAAATGCCTGAGGTGGGGCCCAAAATGCCCGAGGTGGGGCCCAAATAGCCACTTTAAGCCCTTCACATGATTCTGGTGCACTCCAAAGTTTAAGCATATAAATCAAATGAACAAGAAGGATAGTTTTAAAAACCTCCTATGAATTAGGTTGGAACTGTTTGGGTGCATTTGTATTTTTCAACACGCTGACTGTGTAACCCATCAGCAACGGTTGCCTGTGAAGATGCGTGGGAAGGTATACATATTAAGTGAGATGTTATTTCAAAAGGACAGATCTATGGTTTTTTTTTTTTTAAAGGCTAGCTTTGTGAGTCAATTATCACTATGTTATAGACTCAGAATAATGTCAAGGGGTGTACTGTTGAATACAGGGTTGGGTATCTCTTTATAAGAGGTAGCAGTGATTTTTCAGTGGACAATTAAGGGAGTTAACACTTAATGTTTTTCATGATATTTTTGTCAGAATTTTTCATGAATTCTTCCTTGTACGATTGTAGATAATAAGGCCCCATGTGCTTTGCAGTAGTAGCAGCAGCTCAGATTATGTTGCAAATGGAACTGGTAAGAGCAGTAGGTTTTGGAGTGAGCTTGTAGATGGGCTGCTGAGACTGATTTTTGGACAGCATGAATGAAAGCAGTATTTGGATGTCAGCATTCAGAGTTTAAAAGTCCCTAGCTATGGATCCCACGCTGAGTCAGTGGTCCTTCAGGTAAACCAATTCCAACTCTCTATGTAAGCTTAGCCTGCCATGTGAAACTGTTACAGCGTTTCTTCTCTCTGAATCACACCACCCAGCCTTACCAATCCCCAAGGCATGCATCTCTCAGGATTCATTCATTCAAAGCCCTCATCTTTCGGGATTCATTTCCTGCCACCTGACTCTGTGGAGCCCCTCCTGAGCTTCATCCTCCTGTGGATCCCTCACTCCTACTCCCTTGCCCCACCCACTCTGTGCAGACTTCACTGTAACATTTTGAGCACTTTAGATGCACATTTGTATGGATGCCTTTTCCATTTACTATGTTTTTTGAGGGCAGGGGCTTTGTATTTGAATTATTATTTTATTGCTCTCATTTTTACTTCAGCTTCTATCACAGGACTTTGTACATGATAAGTGCTAGTCTTTTTTATTGTATCCAAGTAGAATTAAAGTTGTTCTTTGGGAAGGGGTTTTGCCTCATGCATGAATAATTATGTGTGATTTGCCAAAGATGAGATTTTTTCTTTTTGGTTAAGATTTATGACCCCAAAGGGAAGGTCGCTGTAGTTCATCAGCCAGTAAATGAAACCACACAGGGGGACTTTTTGACCTGGGACAATGTGTCACTTGGCTTTGATCTTTGGGATAGAGCCTCTAAGAGATATCCTCCTAGTGAAAACCTGGGACTGACACGAGGTGAAAAACTGAATTTCAGCCACAATAGCCTAGTACTTCTGTGTGGTGTGTGTGTTATTTACTTGGAAGTCTATATTTGCTTGCTTCTTAATATACTAACCTCATTTTATTGGTCTGGAAAACCTATGAATTAGGAGCAGTTGTTTTCTTATTTTACAGATGGAGAAACTGAGACAGGAAGGTTTATATTTTAAAGTTCTAGTATGTTGATTATAAGATTTTTATTGCTCTCTTTGAAAATTGTCTCCTGAGATAAGTCTGTTAGCTAGATTTGTAAAGTCTGCCCACCGAATCTATAATTCAGAAATCTGTAATTAGCTCCCTTTAAGTAGAACGTTGGGAACATTTATTTGTATCATCAGGGAGGTAAGAATTACATTTTTCTGGAGTATACATGAAATTGGTTGATTGATGGGTTGGTAATGCACATCTTTAGTACTTTTTCCTCCTTCAGACACATTTTCCCTAGAGATTCTGCTTATTTCCTTTTGGATGCTTTTATGTGGGGGGCTGTAACTTAGGGTATTTATCTTCAAGTGTAGAGAATGTCACCTGTACTCCCAGAAATTTGTTACTCTTTTTAAACCAGGAAGGAGCTGTTGGCTCTTGTGTCTTTGGAGCTTTTCACAAAGCTCTGTGCCTGGATTAACTACTGGCCCCATGTGATACACCGAGCGTTTTTGCGCTCCTATCCGGTGCGGCCGCAGACCCCGCTGGAGCCGACTCGCTTCCCTCCCTACCCCAGCGGATGTGGCCTGGCCGCTCCAACGGGCTTCCCTGGGACCCGGTGCCTCAGCCCCGGCCAGCGAGAGCGTCTAAGCTAGCCTTGCCCTCACCGGCGCTCGGCCTGGGGGCTCTTTTCCGCGGGGTGGCGGCCCAGCGGGCGGAGCGGCGTGGGTGTCCACAGCTAGGCGGAGTCCCGGGCCAGGGAGGCGGCGGCGGCGTCAGGAGCGGGGCGGGGCGGGGCGGGGCGGGGCGGGACGCGGCTGGGAGCTCCCCTCCCTCGGGGGTCGCTCCGCAACTCGGCGAGGGCGGCGTGGCAAGGGCGGCTTGGACTCAGCCGCTCCCGGGTGAGGAGAGCGCAAATCTCCTCCCTCGGATTTCCCCGGAAGCGCGGCCGAGAAGAGCGCCGCCATGTGAGGGAGGCGGCCGGCGGCTCCCGCCTCAGGAAGGGCGTGTTCGGAGCGGCGGCCGCGGTGCGCCACCCGCCTCAGCGCCCCTTCCCCACCACCGCTGGCGACGGCCCCGAGGCGCCGGGCGGCCGTTCGTGACGGTTTGGAGGCTGCCCTCCAGGGTGTCTGTGGCGGCGCCATCAGCATGGACCGCGGCCGGATCATGGAAACTTCCGAGAGCGGGACCGCGGCGAGGAGGCCAAGGATGCGCCTCGCCCCGCGGCACCGCCGCTGTCGTCTGGCGGGCCGCACCTCCCGCAGGGCCAGAAGACTGCCCCCTTGTCCCGGACCCGCGGCGCCGGCCCAGCGGAGTCGGAGCCTAGCGATGGCAGAGGCAAGAAGGGAAGGGGCGCCGGGCACTCTGGGGCCGCCTTGAAACTCGCGTCCGGCCGGGCGGGGTGCCCTCTTATCCGGCTTTGGATGGCTTTGACCGACGCGAGCCACCGCCTTGCCGGGGCAGCGTTCAGAGAGGACTGACCCCGATCCCGCGACCCTGATTCTTAGGGTTGCGGTTAGGATGCCGCCTGCCCCGCGGCGTCGGTTCCTTGGACACATCCGACGCCCGGAGCGGCGGGGCCCGCTGTGAACTTGACTGAGGCGATTGCATCCATTTCCTCTCCAAGATCGGGTGTTACAGGGAAACCCCCATGATATTCGAGCGCGCCCCGGCAACGTTAAACCAGCATGACTTTGTTCTTTTCCTGTGGTAGCAAGGGAAGGGCGACTGGCCTCACCGCTCTTTTCCCTCTGTCAGCTTTGCACGGGCACATGCAGTTTACCGTTTTCTTCGGGAATGTTAGAATGTCATCTGGAACATCAGCTTTGCTTCATTGCACATGTATTTGAGGTCCACGTTTTATATACTGTATTTAAAGCATGTGTAATTAGAAAATACTGTGAAACGCGATTTTTGAAGCATTCAGGAGGACAAAGTTAGGCTTTTATTAAGCAAACTTACTGGGACATTTTGTGACTGTTTGGGGTTTTTTGTTTTGTTTTATTTATTACGTTGCGTGTCATCTCTAGCGCATATTGCCTTGGCTTATGTTTTCTCAAAGTTTCTGGGCTTAGTCTTTGTTAAGGTTTTCTAAAGGAAAGAGAAAAAGAAAAAAGAAAAATGTGATCATTAAGACACACAGCTGCAGCATTCCAGTTCTCTGATTTCAGAATTGAAAGCTGGAACTCATGCGTTGGTTTCTGTTTTATTAATTTTTAAAATTAATTTCCAAATTTCTGTCAACTTGTATGGATGGTTTATGTTTTATTAAAGCATTAAAAAAAAAATTTTCGTGCAGGGCTGCAGATTGTTGGCTGTCATCCCTCTCATCACGACCAGGTTTTAAAAGTAATTTGCAACTTTTTCTTGCTTGCTGAGAACTGCTGAGCATCCCAAGTTTGAGGGATATAGTTCGATGTACTGTCTTAAATTTGTAGCAGTCATCATGGTACTTTTCTGTGTGAAAGGGGAAAGTCTTTTTCAGTGTTGCATAACTAGTTGAAGTGATTTCCCTACCCTTCCCATACCCTAAGTGAAAATTCAGCTTTGTTCTGATTATCAGAAGTTGAATTCTGTCTCCTATAGATTCTTTGAAGAAACCTCTGACGGTTTAGACTTGTTAAGTCAAGCTGTTCTTAGTATCAATGTTAAGCTGAGTGTCAAGCCTACTTAACTGGCTTTAAAAAAGCATTACACAGGTGACTATGGAAACTTTTCACAGCTTTCAGGTTTTCAGTCCCAATCTAACACTGGTTACTTTGCAGATTAATGTGAAACTTTCAGATTACCAAAGTCGCCCTTTTATTAAGAGGCCCTTGTGTCTTATAGACTTTTTTTTTTTTTGTATTGGCCTGGGTGTCCTAAAAGTCATCGGGGTGTCTTGCAAGCCTCCCCAGCGCAGCAGCAGCCACTTGCTCTTGTGCTATCACAGTGCCTGTAGGTCCCTGAATTTATAAGTACCTACTTCAGCCATTCTTCCCTATTGGCAGACGGTTGTCCTGTGTTGGAGGTTCAGAAAATACATTCATCCTTAAAGTGCTTAACCTGGTGGCATACACAGAGTAGGTGAAAAATAAATGTTTACTTATTTTTAAAAAAAATTGTTAACTGAATGATGAAACTTCTTCATTCATTGGAATTTGATTTCGTATAGCCTCCTATACAGACTTCAAAATAATAGTATTTCCAGAGCAGAAGTCAAATTGTAAATCGTAGCACCACAACCACAGAAATAATGGTCCCGTACTTGTTATTCATGAACTGTACGTGTTGCTATCACATCTCATTTACAGATTTTTGCATTTAGGTATGGCAGATAATAGAGCAGAGGTAAATGTCAGCATTTTTTCTAGTCTCATATTTTTACTTTAAGGGAATGAATCCTTTTAAATTAAGGTAATAATTGTACTCTGGAAATTCATTTTTGGAGAAGAAGGTAAACTTATAGTAATGTAGCAAAATCATAAGGTTAATTTTAGTTTCTATATATGAACATTTCAGGATGCAATTTAATTCATTACAAAGTTTCTTTATTAAAAATGCAATAAGTCCGCATACCTTTAAGTGAATTTCAATGAGAAATTCATTGGGGGACGCTTTTATAGTTCTGCAGCTTTTAGTAGATACCAGTTTATCAGTGTGGATGGGAGATTGATAACTAATTGCATTTTCAGGTTAAGCGGTGTGTACCCTGAGTGAAAGTGTATCCTTCGTGTGTTCCAGGGAGCAATATGGGGACTGTTAAAAAGTATTGCATGAGAAAAGAGTTCCATAGTCCAGTCGGTTTTTGGGAAACACAGGTTGAATATCCCTAATCAGAAATGTTCCAATTCTCCTGCCTCAGCCTCCCGAGTAGCTGGGACTGCAGGCTCTCGCCACCACCACACCCACTTTTTTGTAGTTTTTAGTAGCGACGGGGTTTCACCATGTCGACCAGGATGGTCTCAATTTCTTGCCCTCATGATCCGCCCGCCTCAGCCTCCCAACGTGCTGGGATTACATGTGTGAGCCACCTCGCCCTGCCTGCCATCTGGTTTTGTAATGTCACCAAGTGAATACAAGACCTGTGCCAACAGGACCCAGCATGATGCAGTCCTCATGGTATTTCTTTTTCTCTTATAGCAGGAGGAGCGTGCGGCCCAGTATCACCATCGTACGTATTTTTCTTTTAAACAGTTACTGAGACGTAGTTGACATGCAAACCAATTCACCCATTTAAAGTAGGTGATTCAGTGTTTTTACTGTATTGACAGGGTTGTGCAACCATTGTTAGAATCTAATTTTAGAAGCTCTTGGTTCCCTCTCAGAAAACCCCCTTAGTGGTGACTCCTCTGTTTTCCCCAACGCCCCACACCCCTGGTTCTAGGCAGCCCTAATCTACCTCCTGTTTCTATAGTACACTGCCTTTCTGTATGAACCGGTTCTTCAAATGACGATTTCACATTGATGAGGTTGCCCTAGCTAGGAAGCCAAGGCGCTTTCATTCCTTTCTGCCCCTCTGCTTTTCCTTCCTTCCGCACCAAGGAGAATGGTCCAGCAGCAGCTCGGTCCATGCTTGTCAAACGCCCAGCTCCACACACTCCAGCCCGGTCCACATTTCCCAAAGCTCCTTGTGAGATTCCTCAGCAGCACCAATGCGCTGACTGTCACTCTCTGTTCCCTTAGGTCCTGTTGAGATACTACAGGACCTCATAATAGAAGACATCGAAGATTCTGAGATGCCCCCTGATGTGGTAAGATGCATTTCTTTGTCTTAAAGAATAATGTTTTTTTCTGGGGCCTCTGGAATATCAAGTGAATATCATTTTTGACTGCCATTGTGAATCAGACCTCAGTTGTCATGGACTCTAGCGACCAGTCAGTGGAGTTTCTGACCAACCGAGGCCTGATTGATGTGACCATGTCAGTCAAAAGATGGCATAACTTACAATCTGATCGTGGGCAACATTTTCTTCTTGAAAAATAATTTTGTATTTCCCAGCCAGCATAGACACTTACTAAATATTCCAAACCCACTGCATTTTCTGCAAGCATCCTCTGTGTTGCATTTGGGGCCGGTGACTTCATCACTGTTTGACATCTGTTTTTTTTTTTAAGTTTAGTTTTGTTTTTGAGACAGAGTCTCTCTGTCTCCAGGCTACAGTGCAGTGGTGTGATCACAGATCACTGCAGCATCCACCTACTTCGTTCAAGCAATTCTCCTGCCTCAGCCTCCCGAGTAGCTGGGACTCCAGGCTCTCGCCACCACCACACGCACCTTTTTTGTAGTTTTTAGTAGAGACGGGGTTTCACCATGTGGACCAAGATGGTCTCGGTCTCTTGACCTTGTGATCCGCCCACCTCGGCCTCCCAAAGTGCTGGGATTATAGATGTGAGCCACCGTGCCTGGCCTAGAATTATGCAATATTATAATCACTCCCAAAGGTTCTATTGTGCTCCTTCTCTGTTCTTACCTGCAGCCACCAGCAACCACTGTTCTGAATTTTTTTCTTTATAATTTATTTTTGCCTATTCTAGATTTCATATAAATATAACCTTGAAGTCTAGGTTTTTCTTTTCTTGTAAGGCTTATTTCACTCTGCATAATGTTTTTGAGATTTTTCTATGCTGTATGAGTCAGTAGTTTGTTCTATTTCCTTTCTAATTAAAGTAGTCTGTTTTATGAATAAACCACAATTCACTTATCCATTTTTTTGTTGATGGATGCTAGGGCTATTTGCAATTTTTGGCTATTGTGACTAAAGCTACTATGAGTAGTCTAGTATTAATTATTTTGTGGAAATACACTTTTGTTTCTCTTGGTTAAATACCAAGAAGTGGAATTGCTGCGTCATAGGATAGGTATATGCGTAACTTGTGTAACTTTTTATTTTTCTTTTGAGATGGAATTACACTCTTGTTGCCTAGGCTGGAGTGCAATGGTGCAACCTCTGCCTACTAGGTTCAAGTCATTCTCCTGCCTCAGGCTCCTGAGTAGCTGGGATTACAGGCATGCGCCACCACACCTGGCTAATTTTGTATTTTTAGTAGAGTTGGGGTTTCTCCACGTCTCTACTAATAACATTTATAAGGAATGATTCAGGCCGGTCTTGAACTCCCAACCTCAGGTGATCTGCCTGCCTTGGCCTCCCAAAGTGCTGGTATTACAGGTGTGAGCCACTGCACCCAGCTGTATATGTGTAGCTTTTTAAGAAACTGCTTGACCTTTTCCCAAAATAGTGATCCAATATTACACTCATGCCAGCAATGTGTAATAAAAGTTCATTTACTCTACATCCTTCCCGTCATTTGGTGTTAATCAGCATTTTAATTTTAGCCATTCTGGTGGGTGTGCAGTGGTATCTCATTGTGGCTTTGATTTGTATTTCCTTGATGGCTAATGATTTTTAGTACTTTTTCCGTGTGCTTATTGTTCATTTCCTGTATTACTTTTTAAAGTTTTTATTTTAATACTTTTTAATTAAAATGAAGTATAAACATTATGATGACCTGTGGGTAGGGAAGGACTGATTAAGCAAGTGACACAAGGCATTTACAGAAAGGAAATGGTTAATAAATTCAACTATGTTAAAATAAAGAACTTCTCTTCAGAAGAGAGTGAAAAGGAAAGTCACAGACTGGAAGAAGGTATTTGCAATGCATAATACCAATAAAGGATTAGTACTCAAAGAACTTATAAAAGTCACTAAGAAAACTAGAGCCCAGCTGAAAAATTGGAAAAGGTTGGGACAGACATGGCACTTAGAGGAAATCAAATAGCTAATAAGTATATGAAAAGATGTTCAACCTCATTGGGGAAATGCAAATTAAACCCACAGTGAAATAACATACCCATCAAATTGGCAGACATTTAAAAGACTGACAGTAGTTTTAGGACCTGCTCAACATTAGGTAGAAGCATAAATTAGTTCAACCACTAGGGAAACCCATTGTCATTACAGGTAGAGTTGAACATGTGAGCCTGTGACATAGCAGCTTCTCTCCTAGAAACTCTTTACTGGATACATGTATGTTTGAAGATTTTCAGAGCAGATTACTTTTAATTCCAAACTTTTCTGTAAAACCCAAATGTCCATTAACAGCATAACGGATAAACAAGTTGTGATATGTTCAAAGAAAGGAATACTTTACAGCTGTGAAAAAAATGAATGGATTACAGCTCTCGGTATTAACTTCGACAAATCTCAGAAACAATGTGGAGAGAAAGAAGAAGCCATCAAAAACATTTATAAGCTATGATTCTTTTTAGTTAAACATTAATAGTATGAGAGTGGTGGCTCACACCTGTAATCCCAGCACTTTGGGAGGCTGAGGCAGGAGGATTACTTGCTATGTTGTCCAGGCCAGGATTTTGAGATGAGCCTGGACAACATAGCAAGACCCCATCTCTAACAACAAAAAAAGAGATTAATAGCTAAACAATATATAGTAATGTATACATAGATGTTAACACAACATAGAATCAGTTTAGGCAAATAACGTTTATCTTAAGGACTTAAATGTTTAACAGGTTACTTTGAGTGCCTAATATAGACGCTTTAGAAGGATAGTAGGCCCTGCTCTCAGGGAACAATATGTCCTTTCTGGAAAGGTAGGGTAGGTGTCTGACCTGGAAGTGATGATGGCACCTTGAGGGATGGATCATGGAGGCAGGAGCTTGGTCTGGATTGGTTATTAGGTACAGCAAGAGGAAAGGAGGGAGAGGTTTGACCTGGGCTTAAAAGACTGGGAGGATGTGGATAAGTGGAAAATACATCTCTGGATAAGGGAAGGGTGTGGAAGTTTGGTGCATGTTCCAATTACAAGGCGCCTGACCATGGTTAGGAGGGAAGGTCTAAAAGCCATGTTGAGGAGTTTGAAGTCCATCCTGTAAACCTGAGAGAACTCCCAAAGACATTTCATTTTCAGCAGGGTAGTCAAAGGATAAACATATTTCATGAAGATTAGGTTTCAGGCAACAATTGCATTAGGAGGGGCAAGGGAAAGCTAGAGATGGGGCATTATCCAGGACCTATTGCAGTGGTTTGGGCACAAGGTATGACCAGGTATGACTAACTTAGTGCAGTGATTTTGGAAAGGAGGGAATAAGGGAGGGAAAAACTGACAGACTAGTGACAGAGTGGATTTAGTGCGTGAAGGGGTGGAGAGTGGAGGGTGACTCAGAGGTTGGGGTTTACCAGCTTAGAAGGACGGTGATAACACGCCACAATTTGTACAGTGCTTTATGGTTTACCGAAAGCTATTTTTGTACACCATCTCATTTGATGTTCCCCAGACCATGGGGAGGTAGAAAGGAGGGATTTTATTTTTTCTGTTTCAGGCCTACAGAAGCAGAAATTCAGAGACTGAATGACTTGTTCAAGTTTGTGGTGACCACTTAACAGAAACAAGTTCATTGTAATAGCATAAGTCAGAGGAAAGAGAAGTTAAGGAGTTTTCGAAAAACCTTTCTTGTCTTTTGTTCTAGGTTCATCTTATAAAAATGAAATTTTACTTTTTCTGATTTTAAAAATCATATTCATAAGTCAGAGGAAAGAGAAGTTAGGGGTTTTTAAAAAAACCTTCCTTGTCTTCTGGTTCTGGGTTCATCTTACAAAAATAAACTTTTACTTTTCCTGATTGTAAAAGTTATATTCATTGTAGAAATCTTGAAAAATATAGAAAACAACAAGGATCACTTAAATTGTACAGTCATTCAAATTGCACATTCAGGAGATAATGTCTCCTAAAATGGTGGTGTGTTTCCTTCCATCCATGCAGATTGCTTTAAATAACTAATTTGAATTTTTTTTTTTTTTTTCCCGCTGGGCGCAGTGGCTCATACCTGTAAATCCCAACACTTTGGGGAGGACAAGATGGGAGAATCACTTGAGGCCAGGAGTTTCAGACCAGCTTGGGAAACATAGCAAGACCCCCATTCTCTATAAAAAATAAATGAATAAATATATTAGCTGGGCATGAGGCACAGGCCTTTAATCCCAGCTACTTAGGAGACTGAGGCAGGAGGATTGCTTGAGGCCGGGAGTTTGAGTTTGCAGTGAGCTATGATTATACTACTGTTCTCCAACCTGGGGACTGCGTGAGACCCAGGTTCTTAAAAAGCAAAAAGCAAAAATATTTTTGAAACAGTTTTCTGTTTTACTTCTAGTAAACATTTAGCTATTATTTATTTAAATGCCATTCCCTTAAAGTGTCTCATTTCTCCTCTTCAGCTCCCTCTAAAAGATAGATTGAGACACATGTTGATCTGTCCTCTGAGTCTCTTCACTTTATTTTTATTTCCCCTCTCTGTGCCGTCTTCTGGAAGCATTTTTAAACTCAGTCTTTTAAGTCACAAATTTATTCCTCAAGGTCTACTCAGCTCTTTAGCCCACTGAGTTTTTAAATTTGAGTTTTTGCCCTCAATCTGTGGTTTGCTGTTTTTCATGACTGCTTATTCATGTTTTATGGTTGCAGCATACTCCGTTATCTTTTTGAGAATATTAATTATACTCACTCTAAAGTCCTATTCTGATTGCTGTTTATTAAAAATACTCTTTATTGAATTATAAATGCAGTCAGCAAGATGTACAAAATCCCCAAGTGTACAGCTTGATGAATTTTCCTCATGCTCTGATGTAATCACCACCCAAATCAAGACAGAACATTTCCTGCATTCCAGAAGACTGCCTTAGGGTTATTCAGTATTTTTTTAGTATTTTTAACATTTTTACAGCAATCTTGAAGGATTTTC